ATTGAACAAACTCAAGTATGTGTGTGTGCGCCTGTGTTTGCTTGGGCAACCTTAGGCCTTCAACAATGCACTTGCAGAGGGTGACGTGGTTGAATTCGAAGGCGACGATGGCCGCAAGTACTACAAGCACAGGAAGATGCTTGTGGGACAGGAGCGTGGATCTACTTTCGAGCATGGCGGCAAAGACCAGGTCAAAACGGGCACCAAGGAGTTTGGTGCCTTGAAGGGTCTGATGGCTTCTTTGGATTGGACCTTTGATCACACCGAGAAGGACATCAAGGACTCATTGGCATATATTAGATGGGGACAATGTAGATGTTTGATTCTGCTATGCACAACCCTGGACCTTTTCTAATATATTCGACCTTTGTTCACCCCAATATAAGAGATGCAATAGCTTACGACTTTCCAACTTTGAGCTAAACAGGACATGGCCAAGGATCCCAAGAAGAAGCTTCCAAGCAACATCAATGAATTGCTTGATGGTGCCAGCAAAGCCCTTGAGCGCTTGTCGCGTGATGCTTTGAAGAGCCTGAAGGATGGAACCAAGCTGGCTGATGGCGGCAAGGCCTTGCGTGGTCACTGCAATGCCTGCCAGCGAGATTTGGCATCCATCAACCACGTGAAGCTCTTCAAGGAGCTGCCCAATGACAAGCCGCTGACCAAGCAGAATTTCGATTCGTGCGTGTTCGAAGTCGCCAAGCACGTGGAGGCGTTGAACTTGGAGGTGGAGAGTTCCAAGGCCAAGTTGAGGGCCAAGTCCAACTGATGACATGACACCCTGAGCGCGCTCATTTTGAAAGACTGTGTGTGGCACATAGACCCTGGGACAAGCCGAGGTGTCCATATATCTATATAGAAGTATCTATAGCTTATTCAACTGTGTTTGCACTTTTGTAGTGAAGGCAAGGTTTCACCAGATTTCAGCAAAAATAGAACATACGTAGATATATTTTTGCGCGCAGTAAACACTTGTATATGTCATATATGTTTGGCAACCCTGGCTGTGCCCCAGCTAGACCTGTGTGTGAACGGTGCGCGCATAGAGATTGCTGCTGCCACAACCTTGCATCCTGGCGTCGAAGGATCGGCAAAAGACCTTTGCAGCGCCAACTTCTTTGCGACCATGAAACCTTTGAGAGACCTTTCCATGGGTGTTGACAAAGAGACCTTTGACCCTTGTCTCCCACAAAGGTTCTCCCTCACCTCTAATTTCTCCCTTAGCGGTGTCTCACCTATCTCCTTCTCTCTCTCTCTCTCTCATTCTCTCATAAGTCCCTCCAGCTTCCCTCTCATGGTTCTCTCATAAGTCCCTCAAGGTTCCCTCTCATG